TGATTTTTACTTACTTTGTTTTTTTAAATAAATAATAACATTTATTTTGACTTTTACAAATTTTATACTTAATAATGGATGTTCAACTTATACAGAACAATGTTTTTTAGCATGATATTCTGCTATGAAAGAAAAAGAAATAATCTCAGATGTTATATATTCTTCTTCAACCAATTCTGTATTAACTTTAGCTTCTAAAATTCCTGAGATTTTTACTAGAATTATAATCCAGCACAAAGGAAACCTAAAACACAATATTTTTAAAATTTATTTTTAGTGATTAAAATATTATTACACTAGGGCGACTATACTTACAGCAATTTTTCTGTATTGTAAAGCATTTTTAAAGTTTGTCCAGCAATTGGTATTGTGCAGCAAACGTAGAGCAAAATGGCATAGGTATATATATCCAGTGAAATGCTGTATTTATCCACCAAAACGTCACTACTGTCCAGCAATGGTAATACTTAATTTACTGAAACGTAACAAATTTAAATGTTATTTATCTTTAGTGAACTACATGAGCACTTCTATACTGCTGTTCTAGCAAGAAAGGTTTTATCTGCAAAATTAGCAGTTTTTTTTATGTGTATTTGTCTACATTTTATCTTTCTCGATACTGAAAAGGAATGTCTTATTTGTAACAAAGGTACTAAAATGTTAAAAAGTTACACAAAAAAAGGTTTAAAAGATAATAAATATAAATTTTCAGATAGGACTTCTCTTGTTAGGATGGCAGTATATGACTTCTCTGTTTTTGTATTTTTATAATTGGGAGTAGGGTTGAGTATTGGTCAAAGGTATCAATACCGGTATCATGTGAGATACTTTGTGGTAGAGGCATCGATACTGTTCGATATTATGTTAAAGATATTGATATTTATAAGTCTCGAGTAACAAAGTATCGAAAAAGTAAAAGATTTTTGTTAAACGGCTGGCAACCCCCATTCAACAGGACGGAGTAGGCAACTTAACTAATAACAAGAGTGCATCAGTAAAGTATATTCTGTAGTCGACACCTTTTCTTTCTCTACTGGTACTCTACCTGGTACAAGTTATAGTGTCAATAACTGGCAATTTACCTTATAATTAAATAACAAAAAAACAGTGGTAACGCTTAATCATATTACCAAGTTTCACCACATGCAAAAACTAAAATACTTCAGTACAAATATTTGAACAAACCTTATAATCTCTGACCACACACATAGCGATACAATACTTGCTTCTAAGTATCACTATGGCGATAGTATTGGTAATTCAGTAATTCAGTGCCTAAATATCGATACTTTCATTGTTTAATATCGTTACTTCTATAGTATTAAGGCATCAATAAGATCCCTATTATCGTGTAAAATAAATATTTCATCATTTAATTGTATCTACTTGTTTACAATGATTTATTTTTTATTGTATTTGGAAATTGAAATTTTACCATCTAAAACAACAGACAATAAATTAGAAAATTTATTGAAAAGAAGAAAACAACTTACCAAACTTATTCAAACGTATAGTTTCCAATTTCTTTAAAATCTGAAATATGTACAAGAAAAAGTGACAAGTGACATTTTTCTATGTTTTGTTGGTTATGACAAACGAATGGCTACGTTCGAAAGTCCATAGTACTTCTCGTGGAAACTTTTTTAGCAAGTTACTTAATTACGTTGTGTTATCATAACAGGCAGGTTAAATACGTAAGTAACAAATAGATGTTTCGCGAGGTTTTGATTTCCCTCAACAACTTCTCATTAACGTTGCAATTACGTTGTATGGGTATGTTATTATGTTCCCTTAAAACAACATCGCCGAAAGGCTTGGTAACGTTATGTGCTAGCTGGGTTAACTCGCACAATATTTAATAGTCTGTCTGTCTGAATAAGATAAAAGGCACATAACTTATTTTAGCTAGATGTTTTTATTACGGACATTATCTTTTAGTGGAATAAAATCAGATTTCTATATTTTAACTCATTTTTGCTGAACAAGTACGTTGAACCATGTTCCTTACTTTTAGAACGTATTTACATTAACGTAAACTCTACTATAGAAGTAACACTACTGTCAAACTTGTCTTAAACAAACACTAACTTGTTATATGTCAGGGTATACAACTGTATGTGAACAAGATGCTTACAACCGAAAAAAAAAATATATGCCGATGGATTGTAACTTTGAAAATGCTGTGCCGGTTGCCTCTGCGAAATACATTCAAAACACCGATCTCAGAAGCAGCCGTAATGATCTGGCCAAGGTCAGAATGGGAGACCAAACTAGCAGGGTAGCATGCATATATTAAAGAACGGGGAAAATAAGGGCATCCAAATGATAATACAAAGTACAATAAGAAATTTAAGCTGCAGAGCCTCAATTTGAACCCCAGAAGGAAAGACAGAGAGGAACCCAAGCTTGATTGGGGGAGCTTACCGGAATCCCTGGGGGCAAGGTGCAGAGGATAGGATGAAAAAAATCTCTGAAAATACTAACAAAAAAGTGCAAGGAAAGATTCACTAAAACTTTGCAAAAACCAGGCGCTACACCTGATGAATTTCACCATTATTATTGCAATCTACTTGTATCCAGTAATGTTATAGACACGGTAACTGAGTCTTCCATTAAAGATAGTGACACATATATTGAATATTATGATTTGTATGTAGACAGCTCAAATAAGCTAAGTGACGGTTTTTTCTGTTACCAATCGATAGATTCTTAGTTTTTACTTTGTGAAGACTAATTATGTTTTGAATACCTTTTTTTCATTGGAGTTATTGTTTATTAAACAGTTTAAAGCTTTTACTAATTTTTTTTTTAACTAACTTTTGAACAGTGTTTCCCTGAAACTCTAAAAATGTGAGTTATCTTGTTTTTATAGTAGCCCGACCAATATATTTGTTTTGTGTTTTATTTATTAGAGGTCCCCACTAACTAATTTTAAATGGATGGCCTAAAAAAAGGTCATCTTCCAAAAGTATTGCGGCCCGTGTAACATAGCAAACATACGAATGTGGCCCGAAGGAAAAAAGGTTGAGTATTGCTGATCTCGACTAACTGGAGATCTTTGATTCCCCTTTTTTCTTGGCTCGTAATAACTTTTCTAATCGAAAGTTTTGAAATTTTTGTCAAATGTGTATTCTTTCTATGACACCGTAATTAGATCTATTATTTTCCAAAGTTAATTGGTGGTACATATTTCGAATAATTTTTTGAGTTGAGGGTGACATCTACATACCAAATTTTTGGTTAATATCAGCTCCCTCGTCCTCCTCGTCTTTTTCCTCCCATTCTTCTTTACTCTCAGAAGAAACTTTGATGGGTTCAGCATAGAATTATGTAGGGTCACTTGGGGTAAGAGCGCGTTGTTTGGGGTAAATGTATTAATAAAAATCTAAATAACAATATTCTAGATAATAACACGAAAATATTTAATTTTAGTTTGGCATTTATCCTATGTTTACGGGATGAACAAAAATTTAAAAAATATATTACTAAAATTTATTTTAAATGCCAATTGTTCGTTTCATTTAATTGTACCATAAACGTTGAAATGGTAATCTTAATAAGGTCTCGTCTATTTACTATTTGTTAGTATAAATTTATTCAGCTTGTCACTTTTTTAATAAAGTATTCTCGTACTGATTTTATATTTTTTATATTTTCTCAGTATATATTAATATTTGACCCCTCGTTCAAAGCCAAATCTTAACATTTTCCACTATAGAATTTGCAGGTAAAATATAACCTTTTCTTTTTATAGGTAAACAATAATTTAAATTGCCAAAGCCCACTTTGAACTGTTTAAATTTTACAATTTATGTGAGTATTTAAATATCAATTTAGTTTTTTTGATGTGTAACTGATCTTATTTATTTGAAAAATAGTCAATCAAAATTATAATTATTTACATGCCTTCAGGGATTACATTATTTTCATCACTTTCAAAAGGCCTCCAAAAAGCCATTTTTTTATAAACTAAAAATCCAAACAGTAATGTGAATACAACACTGGATAAACAAATATTGTCCATCTGTGCTCAGTCAACATCATAGATTACTAATGTGAATAGATGGGAAACTCAATGGTAAAATTTTGAGTCGATGAGCTGCCATCTATCAAATTGGAGTGGTACTAAAATTCAATATGGCCGCCACTAGCGGGCTTTTTGAAATTTAACTTTGTAGTAGCGCAAAAATGTAATGAAGAAAATCAAATAAAGCAAAAAAATTGGAAAATATTTGACTAGTTTTAAATCATAAAACAACCATATTGACTGTTTTGTGATTTGAAACTAGTCAAATATTTTGCCAATTTATATCTTTATTTAATTTTACTTCATTATATTTTTGCATTAATTTCAAACTTGAAATAAAATGCAATTTATTTAATTTTTTTATTACAGTAAATCATATAATTTGTCTATTTAAACATGGAAATACTCAAACAAATATGCATTAACACCATTTAAATAATTAAATATTTATAAAACAAACCTATCAAAAATGTTTTCTGTAACAAAACCACTTGGAGTGGCAAATAAGTTTGAAAAAATTGAAGTTGAATCATCATCCTTTTTTACTATCGAGGCAAATTTGAGTGTGGATAAAATTTGCCATACGGTTATTGAGTCGACTGGTTAGGTTGAGGAGCATTTCTTCATCCGATAACTGTTTTCTTGATTCATTTATACAGCACTTGTAGTTATCAAATTTTTATTCATCATGTGGGCACTGTGATAAATGAATTTAATTTTTGAGCATAAATTAAACTTACACACGTTTGGAACCTTGAAGATTTTAGGGTGTTTTTTGTTTGATGTCAATGGCATTGAATCAATTTTTGATATTGATGGATGATGCTCAAATATTTCATCGATCGACAGGGTATTTTGGAGGGCCAACATTTTCTTCCCCCGTCTGGTATATCATACGGACAGTGTGAAGAGCGAGTCTATCTTAGATAATAAGATGTCTATGAATGGCCCTAAAAATCGTATTAAAAAAAAATATCTCTAACAAAAGTGTATATTAACATTATAAAATTGTAAATGATTATAAAAATAAGTAAATCTGTTTAAATTAAATATCATCCTATAAATAATATAATAAAAAATAGGAGTTTTTATTAGTGTTCACTCAATATAGAATTAAAACAAATATTATTTCACTTCAACAATTTGGGCCAGTAGGTTTTTCAACTCGTGTATATCTTGCTTCAACAAATCAATATCACTAGCTCCCTGCGCAGCATTATCTTTTTCTCTAAAATACCTTTGCACCAACGAAGTCATCAAAGCAGGATATTCAATTTCATTCATTTTGTTATTATCAATTGATGGTTTGTCAGCCATTCTACAACATCCCTTAGACGATTGAGATTTAGATCCGTTCAATGTTTCCATAAAAGTAGCAATACCATTTGGCGTTGGTACCAGATTAAATGGAGAAGGATTGGTGGATTGAAGCATGTATTCCAGATAAAAATCTGTCTTTCCAAAAGTCCATTCTACATCTAAATTATCTATAACTCTTTGAAAAGTTGCTGACATCGTAGCGATCAACATATTTAGAATCATAATTACTATTAAGACTTCGAACAGAGCGAAGGCTATATACCCAACAGCTTCTGTAAACTCGTGAGAATTGATGATGGTTGTATCAGGTGTTTCTCCTGGTAGATTCTCTATTACTACATCAGCTGATTCTAGTGGAGCCATACAAAGTATCGCCCAAAAAAACGTTTTCAAAGTAGTAGCAAAGCTTACGAACGACGACACCTGTTGAGTTTTGATTTGGTTATCGTCTATTTGTACCATACCATCGTAATATTGATAAAACCTACACAAACCAGCAGAAAAAGAAATAATAACTATCGTAAAGATAATTATATATTTGGCTAAATCAGCGCACATCTTGCCTAGAGATATCTGCAAAGGTCCCATGTAGTAGTTCAATCTGCAGAAGAACATGAGTTTAAAGAAAGCCATGACAGTAGCTATAGCGAAACAACCTTCCGCTATCAGTATTGGATCCAAATGATGCCAGTATTTTCTTTCCAGATCCACTTGGTCGTTATTTTTGGCATCGAAATAAGAAGCCAACCAAAATAGAAATGTTAAAATAAACAACAGATTGTTTAAAAGCGAATGCCAGTTCCAAAGGCTTTTAAAAAACCTATTTGGACCTAGAAGAATGATCATTCTTAGAGTATTCCAGATATTACCGGCAACAAAAATTATTATGACGGGTTCCAATCCTGAACTCGGAGGTCTTCTTTTTTGTTTTGTTTTATCCATATTAGATTCCAGAAAAATTACAATTAAAAACGCGCTGTATGAAGCAATGTGGCTGATCATTTTGTTCAAAGGGATGCTCCAATGCTTCACCATAGCATTATTAGGCATAACGATGCTCATTAAAGCAATCACCGGTAGCATGAATGCTCGACCAACAGGATAGAACAACTTGAGCACTATTGGTTTTAATTTGTACGTATGCCAGTCACCAGACCAAAATGCTTCGACAATTTGTTGAGTATTTGGATGTGCTACAAAAGTCTTCTGTTTGTAGTCCATAGCGAGAAACAATCTAGGGAAAATGAATCGATGCGGTGAATCTATCCCAGCGCTTTGAACGAGTATAAGCTCCATTTCTGTGGTACTGCGCACGCATGCTATTACATCAACCGCAAACATACTGACTTCAGCTGCTAGCTCTTTGTAAGCCACTCTGAATTCTGGTACTAAAAATGAAGAATCCGTAAGTTCTTTAGACAGCTGAAAAGCCGCTAGTATAGGATCATGACTTGAATAACAAAGATAAGCTGGATTTGCTACAGCCCTGTAGAGGTTCAATCTTAGGCTTTCAGAATGAAGGATATCATCGTGTTCCAAATGCATTTTACACTCTGAACACCTACAAGATGGCGGATGCGGTTTACTAATGGTATGACCTCGTTCGATAAGCATTTTAATAATTTCATAATGACCACATTGAGCTGCTAGAATTAGAGGAGTTACGTAGTCAGGAAAATCTGAGCTATGCGTTACTCCGACGTATTCCAAACTGGGTGCAGTCACGCTTAATTTATCTAGCAACATTGTTAATATACTGGGTTGGTTATCTTTGACTGCGTGTAGGACACAATCACCTATGTCGATGCCTTGTTGGGTCAAAAGGTACTCTACCATGCCATCGAAATGGGCTTGTACGGCTACTAGGAGGGCCGTGACTCCTTGGAAGTTAGTACAGTTTATGTTGATGTTGGGATGTTGGTCTAAATATTCTTTGACGACTATTACATCACCTGAAAAGATATCGTATCATTTGATTTTATTATATTTGTATTTCAGGATAATCAAATTTTCTAGTTGTTTGTTTGCTGTGACCCCAAGGCATGGTATTTGTGCCTTCATGCCAGAGGTGCTATGGATACTTGACACTATATAAAGTTTTATGAATATATAACTAAAGTAAAGAATAAAGAAATGTGTACAAAAGAAAAAAGTTATAAAAGACTGACAATTTTGGCATTATTTTACCTGAACCGACCAATTCAAAAAACCGCTTTTCGGTTTCCTGAAGTTGAGGCAAGATTATACTGGGAATAGGGACAAGCATATCGGGTTCATCTGAAAATCGCTTGTACGGGAAACCAGCCGGTTGGAGAATTTGTCTCGATGTGGGTCGAAACGTTTGGGATCCTAATGGTGGGGATGGGGGAGGTGGCAGAGAAGGAGGGTTTTGTTCAGACATTGCAACAATATTTTGTAAAACTTTGTGTTGTTAAAGTGACATGTTGGGTGACATTTGAGTTAAGGTGTACTTCATATAGAAATTCTTTATACAATAATATAGGTGAGTACACATCCGAGCACGAATGCAAACGAAGCAAATCGATGCAAGGCGAATTCGTCTTTTGTAGATTTTGGAATTTGAATGGAAATAATGTGAAGGCAGCGCTTGGAGCAGATATTTAGGCCCGTACTTATAAACATATCTAAGCTGAGTCGGACTTGGGTGAGGTCACATACTTTGATTTTCTTTTACTATACGGAGAATGATCGCACTACGCAGCTTTCTGAGTGCCTTTTAAAAGGAGATAGAAAACTTATTACGTGTTGCCTACATCTTGGTGCAATATTTTTAATAGGTGCGTTTTAATCATCCGCTTCTGCTTCGGAATTGTCGGTTTTCTTGTTTTAATCTGACAGGTTAGAACGACTGAACCCTCCGAGCAATTACTAATATAGAGGGAGCGTGGAAACGAGTTTGTAGGCGATTGTTGTGTTAGCAACATCTGTAGAGGAAGTGAGGAAGCGGGCACAAGGGGGAAGGTAAACATCCTTCTTGTTCAGTGGCGTATCATTTATCTATAAAAACACACATTGTCCAAACGTTTTAATTAAAAAAAAAACTAAAAAATTTGCTAATTTTACTATTTTTAAAATGAATACCGTCTTATATGTGTGTAATGCAGGAAATGAAACAAAATCACTGTAGATGTCTAATTTTTTCAATTGAAGAATAAAACCTTAAACTCAATTTTATTAAAAATAAATACAAGAGCGACTAGTTTCGGCCTTACAGGAACATTTTCAGGCCTGTAATACAATAATCTTTAATTATTATAATAGGTTGGTCACTTACGAATAACATTAAATAGTATAAACCACAAAAATGGTTCCATATTGTAGCGTTACATTATACAGTAACATTATAGAATTAAAGCCGTGAAAATAAAAGAGCAGTGCAAACGTAATTAAAAATAAGAAAACTTAGTACGGAATCTACAATAGAAGAGGTGAGAATGAGCAGTTACGATGCATTTAAATTGCTTGGGATAACAAATAAAGCTGATAATGTAGTGGTATAGTCCCCGTCAAAGGAGGTCTGGATATGTTAAAGAGGACGGCGTTTTCTCTATAAATCTGGAGAATGTAAGGATGGAGGGAAGACGAATTTTGCTGGCTCAGGTGTAGATGGCTAGAAAAAGGAACGTGTAGATGAAAGCTCCAGTAAATATCGCCACTTTCGTCTAATTTTTTATTCTCACTCACCGTTTCGGCTTTATCTTCGAAATTCATTTTTAAAAGGAAAAAAAGTAATCATTCATACAAACATATAATAAAACAACATGAATTCATTATATTTAATAAGCTAATAAACGTTTGATTCAATGAAAAAAACATATATGTGAATATAAAAAATATATAAATAGATAAGATTAATATCAAAATCAATTTGAAAATACAACAGATAATAAAATGAAATAAATTAATACAAGTACAAATAGGAAGTTTAAACAAATTTCTAGTTTTTGTTTTGCAAAAGACTTTTTTGCGTTCTTCGGTTGCCTCTGCCACTTTTCTTTTAGTAGTTTCGAGGAGAATTTTCCTATGGAAACCAGTAGAACCATCAATTGGTTGGTAAAATTTTGATATTTTGGGTCTGGTAAGTCTTGTTAAACTTTCTTCTTAGGAGAATAAAAATTTAATGTTAGATCAAAAGCTCTTAATTGAGAATTATATTTGCAAAAGCCGTTTTAATAATATTTTCAAAAGTTCTTGGAATCGTTGTTAACAGAAACCTGCAAAAAATATATCATTTTATTCCTAAAATATAAGATATTACACAATGCACATTTATATAATATCATTGTGCTAGAAAAATACTAGGTAGGTACTGAGACAATTTGAAAAAAGTATTTCGAGAAACTCAACTCATAATGTCATCATTGTACTTAACTTTTTTTATTGCTAAATTATTAATAATGTCATTTTGTGTAGTTCGTTGTGATTTGTATAATATATATTATAAAAACCTATCGTCAATGTTAATGTGCCAAGTTTTTTTAATAATTATGTCCTTGTTATAGTAAAAACACATTTTTAAAGTTTTCTGGATTTCTGCTTTAAATTATCGTACAATTGAACTGACTAATTGTGTGTTTAAGTAAAGGTATATCTCTTTTTTGTTATAACAGTCTTTGTATATTGTTCTAACTTTCTAGATAATCAGAGAAAACAGTAAGACATCTTAATATATCCTATTTCACCAACAAAAATGTAGAATAATTAATCTCACATCAAACGAAAAAAGTCATTTTAGGATGTCTTAATAGGTTTTAACTTAAAAACTAAATAAAATGTATATTGCAACTGTGTTTTATTGCAAATTAAAGGTGATTCCTTAATGCACCGCCTCTGATAATTAGGTTGTGTCTGTACTTACTTATGATATTATCTTGAAGAAGCATTTTCAACAGGCCTTTTACACATAAAGCATGTTTTCACCATATTATTAGAGATAATAAATCTTAAATATACATTTACAACTCTTACAACGTTATAAAATAATAATATTTTCCGTATAATACAAATAAGAAATTGACATGTGTTAGAAAGTGTCAGAACTGGCGCTGTCAAACTCACAGAACATGGTCAAACTTGGCAACGCTGATTAAATAAGCCAATTGCAGAAGAGGTATTTTCCCCCTCGGGGGAGTAGATGTTGCTAACAAAATTTAGCGCGGGGAAGGGGGGAAGACTCCCTCTAGTAGTCATTGCTCGGAGACTGAACCGACAATTCCAGAAGCAGAAGCGGATGGTTAAAACGCACCTGATATTTTGCTTGCTGCTGTCAGTGTCAGTGAATATTATTAGGCATTCCAACGACTTGTCCAAATGGCTACCAGTGGGTAATGACAGTTTAGATATGGCAACCCTGTTGTCATGTTGTCATTAACAGGGTCAATGATACATATATAGTTATATAGATTGCTTAAAGCTGATCGTTTACGAGCGGCCATATTGCCTGGCAAATACTTATTAATTTGAATCGGTTTAGCAAAAATGTGTTTTAAAACCAATTTTTAGCCTTTAGATATTTTAAAAAAAATAATTGCTTACATTTTTACTTCAAGGCATACGCTTATGTTTATTTTGAAAAATATGGATAATCAATCTATGTAACTATCTATTTCATTGACCTTGTCAAATCACCAGGCCTACGGGGTTGCCATAATTTTGCCATATCATAACCCGTCAAAACCCACTGGTAGCCATTAAGTTTGGAATGCCTAATTTTTGGAGTCACAGTTTATTGCTAAAGAATCAGTTAGCTCACTCGGACCAGTTGAAAGTTCCAAAATAACATCCACTGCAGGGATACAAATTCAGGATACGCAGAAGACTGCTGTTTTATTATAGGCGGTTGTCATATATTGTATTATCCGAGTTGCACAGTGTATAAACTGAAACATTGAGATCCAAAGTGCCGACGCAGAGTGAGCGATCTGATTCTTTAGCTGTAAACTGTGTCACAGGGTTCAAAATGGCCGCGCCCTATGTTGGGCGTGTCGGACCTCTCTCTTGCCCCGTATAGTAAAAGAAAATCAAATTATGTGGGTACATATACTGTGGGACAGCAAAATGGAATAAATTCGGTAGTAAATAAATAAATGGGGGCGTGTTTGGAAAAACGCTCGGACTTGTCGATTGGTATTTTTAGTTGCGCATTTTTTTTTAACTTTTTATACAGGATGTGTCATGTAACAGTGGCCAATACCAACTTTTTATTTTTAAATGCAATACTCTGTATATTTTCCAATTTTTGGATTCTTCAGAAAATTCTAGACATATTTTATGTACTGTTATATATGCCTAACTATTTCGGAAATATTAAATGTTAAATTAACATTAATAAAATAAAATTATTTAATTACAGAAATTCGTTACAACAGACTCAAAAACTAATAAGTAATACTGTTTATTTCTTGGTAATGTAACAAAAAAAAACACATCACAATGTAGGAGATGTTCAAAATGCTCGCCGCAAACCTCTTGGCAGGATCCTAATCTGAAATAAAAATGTCTTCTTACGTTCTAACATCTCAGGAGTGACCGATCTAATCGCAAGCGTTATTCGTCTTCTTAAGTCAGCTAGGTCTTAATATTTTAGAAACAGGTAGGTATAGGACATAGTACATAAAGTATGTCTAGAATTTTCTAAAGAATCCAAAAACTGAAAAATATACAGGGTGTTGCATTTAAAATAAAAAAGTTGTTATTGGCCACTGTTACATGACACACCCTATATTAAAAATGTTTGTTAAAAAAATGCGCAACTAAAAATACCAATCGAAGTGTCCGAGCGTTTTTCCGAATACGCTCCCATTTATTTATTACCGAATTTATTCCATTTGGCTGTTCCACACCGTATATGGTTACGTAGGACGACACAAACAAAAAAGTCTGTGAAATTTCGTACACTAATAATCTTATTTAAAAAGGCGGAATCCTAATTATCTTTCAGATAGCAACTCTCGGATAATATATCCGTTGGTTAGTTAACTGGAACTTTATCTGAAGGTGAAACGACCGACCCTTAAAATTTACCGGTAGGGACGTAGGTAACTTAGGGCCGATTCCACCGTTGTGTTAAATGAAGTTTAAATTGCCTATGAGGACTAGAGATAAGGAGGCGAATGCGGCATACGGTCAAAAAAAAACGCAGGCTAATTAAGCTTTTATAATTAACCGCATGAGCGCTAGTACTGCATACGGTGTTCAAAATACATGGCTTCTTAGGGGAATTATACATAATTTTGTCAAAATAATAATAATAAACTTGTTTATAGCTAAATAAAGCACAGAACATACTGTTGTATTTATTTCTAAATAAGTCTTGCATGTTCTAATTGATAAATTATTTAGTTTTATCTATATAAAATACAAATTAGGTAGGTATGACCAAATTCGAAAAGGTTTGTTAAACGCTGAAATTTGATAAGTACAATTTTGTGGCAAAATTTTTTTGAATTGAACCTATATATAT